TTTGACCCATCTTTGCTTCTAGGTATTTTATGCTTTCCGTTCTTATGTCTAGGCCAAGACTGGTTTTTTAATAAAAGATCAGCAGGAAGAACTGAGGGTTTTAAGCAGAGGAGGGGACATGACTAGATTTGATTTTGAAAGGTCAGCTCCAGGCTATGGTCTTGAATTGTTTTCTGTGCCTTGGAAACTTAACTTGATAATTTTCTGACCTGGGAGTGAAACACAGGCTAGACATAAATTGGATTAATTTTTACTTTACTGTAGTAAATTGTAAGAGGGAAAGGAAAAGATTTTTTTTTTTTGGAGGATTTGTTTATTTATGCATATAAGAGCTGAAGTGTAGCCCAGAGGTGCAAGGAGAGGAGGATTCACCAGAGACAGGGTGGGGAGCAGAACCGACAATTTTACTGAGATAAACTGCTGAGGGAAGCAGTGGGTGAGACAGGAGAGGTCTGCTGGCCATGTAGGTCAGCTCCCAGCCTAGGGATTGAGCTCAGGCTGCAGTGGCTGTCTATAGCTTCATTGTGCTGAGACTTAACCTCTTGCACCAGCAGGGAGGCCCAGGAAAAAGATACTGTTAACATGGAAGCTACCTAGGCGATAAATATGGTAATGTAAGTGAGAAATCATGTGTGAAACTGATGGGGAAGGAGACAATAATTTTGAGCATTTAAAAAGTACAAAATGTAATCATTAAGAATTTGTGACTACTTGAAAGTGAAGATAATGAAAGTTTGTGGCTTAAGAGTGAATCCAGACAGATGTGTTTATATTGCCCTGATCTAAACATTTACCCCATTTTCCTAGACATTTACCCCAATTGCCTTCTTCCATTATTATACTTCATATAAACATTCTTTTCATTCTCATTGTCTCCATCCTATGGAAGATGTGTCTCTATATATTTATAATGCAGACTCTTAGAGTAGCAACTTCCCATTTTCTCTTCATACATTATTGCTTTTCTTCTTTGTTTTATTCATTAATGTTCCTATTTCATTTTTTGATACTAAAGTTTCTAACTAAAAAATTGTTAGTACACCTATCTTCTGAGAGTTCAATACCAAATTTCTTGGTTTGACATTTAATATCTTCTGTTTGACTCTGATGAAATTTGATGGCCTTCCAGTCCTGTTGTGCCTGAGCTCCATTCCAACTAGATGGTTTTATTTGCAGTTCTCCACATATATCTTTCCTCCAAGATTTATTTCCTCTCATTTGGAATCTACACAGACCTTACTCCTCCACTGACATGCAAGTACTTTCTCTACAATGCTAGTCATCAGCATTGTATACATTTTTATTTTCTACACACCTTGTATCATGGAAATACCCAGTGGCTGTAAGAATGAGTGGCTGTAAGTTCTCCTACAAGAAGGAGAACTTGTAGGTAATTTGACATGTTCAATTTGTTTTTTAATATGAGTGGTAATTTGATATGTTCAATTTGTGGAAAATCATGGGACTCTATATATGATGTGCTGTTTCCTGTATTTGTAAAACTTCAATAAGTTTACTGTGTATACCTTGAAAATAAAGAATGTCTTGACTACTAGGTCCTTGTATTTCAGTTTGAATTTTATATCAGCTTGTTCAATTTTACTAAATTTGCAGTCAGTTTACACCCTCCCTGGTGACGCAGTGGGTTAAAGCATAGCACTAAGAAGCTAACGTCACTTCAGCATGTTTGATCCCCTGCCCTGGAGGTGACCCATATGGCGCAGCAGACCTCTCCTGACCTGCCCGCTGCTCCCCTCAGCAGTGTACTTTGTCAGTCAGCCTGTTCTGCTCCCCACTCTGTCTCTGGTGAGTCCTCTCACTGCCTCTGTCCTGTACCCCAGTTTTGTATAAATAAATAAAGCTTTAAAAAATAAATTTCAGTCAGTTTATAAAGTGGGAGGAATTGTCTATTTTGATATGGAGTTTGTATATATATTATGTATATATGTATGTTTGTATATATAATATATATGTATTATGTATTTCATATATGTATGATTGTGGTATGCTTGTTATTTATTTAGATTAAAGATAAATTGCTAGTAAATAAAGTTTTATGGCCCAGTGCTTATACCTGTTTATATGTGATCAATGGTTGCTTTAAAGCTACAGTGACAGATTTACAGAGTAAAATACATGACAGGGGTTGTGACAGATCAGATAATCTGCAAGCCTAAAATACTTACTTTTTGATCCTCAAGAAAAGGTTTTCATATCATGCATTTAGATTCTTTATTATTTTCTCCATTAAGATCTTGTACCTCTTAGATTAGATTAATGACTATTAACTTGGGATATTGTTATTGTTGTAAGTATATCAGTAATGTCTTAAAATTGTTTGCTCATGTATAGGAAAGCTTTTGCTTTTGTGTATTCTTGCATTCAGCAACTTTGAGAACCTTTTATATTTATTCTGAAAATTTATAGGTTATCTATTTAGATAATCATTGGCTTTGTTTCTTCCTTTCCTGTTTTATCTCATTTCATGTTTCATTCTCTTAAATAGAAGCTGGCTTAACCTTAGAGGAAATGCATGTTTTATCAGGCTATGTGATATTTAATGTAAAGGGGCTTTTATTTTTTAAGACTAAATGCATCCTTTCTCTGTTTAATAGAGGTCTCTTCTTACACTTATATAAACTCCAGGTTTGCTAAAAAGTAACGTTGACTTTTATATGCTCGCACTCTCTTTTTTTTTTTTTAGATTTATTTATGCATACAAGAACTGGTACAGGTCAGGAGTGCATGGAGCAGGGTGAGAGGATTCATCTGATAGAATGGGGAGCAGAAGGCAGATTGACAGAAAAACACTGTTGAGGGAAACAGTGGGTAGTTCAGGAGAGGTCTGCCATGCCATGTAGGCCACCTCCCTGGCTAGAGATGGAACTACTGCAGTAGCTGTGGACACCTTCATAGTGTTGCATCTTAACCCCTTGTGCCACCAGGGAGGCCCCAGGTTCCTCTTGAACTGTGACATTTTCTGATTGTTTTTGATGTCCTTGTCTTCTTTTGAAGAGTATTTAATCAGGCTTATTACTGAATACTTGTCAAAGAATTTGGTGTTTATTTGTGTCATGGTTACGGCTTTTGGGAAGACCACAGATTAAGTGCCATATTATTACATCATACCAAGAGAATTTACTATAATATAGATAACTATTGCAAAATTGCCTTTGTGGATCTTGCCACCATACACACGTGAGAGTATCTCTCAAGGTATGAGAGTACCTCTTTTTATAGACCTTTACCAACCCAGTATAGTACCAAACACTTTGCTGTTTGCCTGTCTTACCTTCCTATTGGTGAAAACATGTATATCTGAAATCCCAAAAACTACTTCCAGGTTTGATGGTTTGCCAAGAAAACTTACAGAAGTCACTATATAGTTGTGCTTATTTAGTATGACAGTTGACTTACTTTAGCATAAAAATTAATGTACATTTTGGGTCGTTTATAATACTTATCTTATGACCTGGTTTAGCCATGTAAAGTTCTAATTTTATTTTGTAATATTAGCTTTTGAACAAAAGTCTCTTTTAATCATAAGAGTGATTGTTTGTCTAACTTAAAAGTTATCTTTAACTTAAAGTTGGGTTTATTATATTGTGAGGTAGCTTTTATTTATTTTTTTTAAAGATTTTATTAACTTATGTATACAGATGTGCAGGGGTGGTGAGAGGATTCACCAGAGACAGTGAGCAGAACAGGCAGATTAATGAAGTACACTGCTGAGGGGAGCAGCAGGCAGGTCAGAAGAGGTCTGCGGTGCCATGTGGATCACCTTCGGGGCTGGGGATCAACTTGCACTGAAGCGGCTGCCGCCAGCTTGCAGTGCTGCATCCTTAACTGCTGTGCCACCAGGGAGGGCCCCGAGGTTGCTTTTAACAGTGGAAAATCTTTATTTTTAAAAATTTAGATGGCAACTATCAAAAGGAAGTAGGATCATGGCAGCAGATGATGACAATGGTGATGGAACAAATTTATTTGATGTCTTTTCTGGTAAGAGCTCATTTTAATTGTCTTTCTAAATATTTAATTACTAAATCATTCATTTACTCAAACCAAAAATACTGTCATAAACTTTTTCTCCCCTCACACAAAGTAATACATAAAATAGAAAACATGAATATAAAATTTATTAAATATAAGTAATAGAATTATTATTTTTTTAAAATTAATTATTTTTAGAAGAACTGGGGTGTAGGCTAGAGGTGCAGGGGGTGAGAGGATTCACCAGAGACAGAGTGGGCTGCAGAACAGGCAGATTTACTGAGATACACTGCTGAAGGGAGTAGGCGAGACAGGTGAGCTCTGCTGTGCCCTGTGGGTCAGCTCCCCAACTGGGGATTAAACTCCTGCCGCAATGGCTGTGTACAGCTTCATAGTGCTGCGACTTAACCCCTTGTGCCACCAAGGAGGCCCCAGGTTCCTCTTTTACTGTGACATTTTCTGACTGTTTTGATGTCCTTATATTTGTAGTGACTGGTGATAGCTTGATAGCTCTGAGAGTTTAACCCCTGCACCACTAGGGAGACCTCAACAGTTAATTTTTTGACATATCAGCAACTGTTATTATTTTGAAGGACATGACATTTTTAATCTCATTTGCTGGAAATAGCTGTTTTTATATCTACGTATTACTCTTTCAAATTCCTGGTCACATACATATATTTTTTTAATAGTCATAGCCACAGTATTCATGTTTCTTTGCATTTTTTTTTAGCCACTTAACATGATTTCACAAATGTTTTATTTCTCCTAATTTATCAGCTGTATTTTTCCCAACTCATTTGAGAGTAATTTACATATTTAATGGCCTTTATTCAAAAATTCACATGTAATTCCTAAGAAAAATTTGGTGATTTTAAACAGCATAATTATCAGTATTAGTAAATTTGACAGATAGGGTACTTTTATTTGTTCTACCATTTAGATTTCTATTTTATTAGCACAATAATGTCCTTTAGCATTGTGATTGGATTTTAGCGCTTTCATTTTACTATTTTGGTGTCATATTTTTTCTAATTTCTTGCCTTCTTATAAATGTTATTTGAATATGTTTTAGAATTCCTTTCTAGATCATATATTACTTTTTGGCTATACATTTTTACTTTTTTTTTTTTTTTGAAAGATTTATTTATTTATATATACAGAACTGGAGTACAGGCCAGAGGTGCAGAGGCAGTGAGAGGATTCATCAGAGACAGAGTGGAGTGCAGAACAGGCAGATGGACGAAGTATACTGCTGAGGGCAGCAGTGGGTGGGTCAGGAGAGGTCTGTGGGTGCCATGTGGGGGATTGAACTCACACTGAGGTGGCTGCAGCCAGCTTGCAGTGCTGAGTCCTAACCTGTTGTACCAGGGGCCCTATGCATTTTCACTTTATATGCTGAAGGGATAGTACATGTAATATTTATTTGTAACATTTTGCATTTAATATACTAGTTATATTTAACTTCCTTTCATGCCCTTATATTAAAGATGTCATAAATCCCATAATACAGTGCTATAATACTTACTATAAACTGTTCTATGAATCTTAAATAAATTTAGAAGAATTAAGGGATATTGGAGGAAGATTAATTGACCAATTCTTGAACATTCTGTATCGTATTTCCCCCCCCTTATTTCTTTCTTTCTCTGGAAATCCAGATATATCATATGTACAAACTTGGTATTTTCCTGTAGGTTACTAAGACTTTTTTTCCTTTTGTTCTTTAGATAAGGTAATTTTTATTGATCTACATATTAACTGGCTTTTCTGTGGAGCACATTCAGTGATTGATTTTTAACTAAATACCTTGCTTTTGGAGCTGGGTGAGAGGATTCATCTGATAGAATGGGGAGCAGAAGGCAGATTGACAGAAAAACACTGTTGAGGGAAACAGTGGGTAGTTCAGGGGAGGTCTGCCATGCCATGTAGGCCACCTCCTTGGCTAGAGATGGAACTACTGCAGTAGCTGTGGACACCTTCATAGTGTTGCATCTTAACCCCTTGTGCCACCAGGGAGGCCCCCGGTTCCTCTTGAACTGTGACATTTTCTGATTGTTTTTGATGTCCTTGTCTTCTTTTGAAGAGTATTTAATCAGGCTTATTACTGAATACTTGTCA